TGAACATATTTATTGGAGGAAATGACATGTGCGGATATTGCCACAATCCGGTCGGTGAAACTTTTACGAATTTTTTAGCGGCAGAAAATTTCATTTAATGCCAATATTCAAGAATGACGCACCAGAGAAGTGTGTCCAGCACATCTCGGACGCCATACAAATCATCTACGACCACGTGCCCCGAGTAATTGTTTCCCTAACCGTAATGCTTCATCTAGAAGTGCTGCGCCTGACTGATTCTGGACACTTCTTCTGCACAGAATTACATGTGTAAGTCTCCATCATAATGTTTCTTGCAAATGAAAGCGTGGGAATCTCAGAAAGCATAAATGAAATCGTACGAGAATCATATAACAGCAGAAGAAGCTAGAGCAAAATATGCCAATATTTAAAAATGGGTGGGATTGTTCTCTTCAGTGAAATATGAGAAGCAATGCCTTTACACAATTAACTATTCGATTCTCCAATTTTTCAATGGAAGTCGACTCTTGAGGCTGCGTGAGACATGACAATTTAGATTAGAAATATTTGTACTTTCATTAAAAGAGCTATGCATCACATCACCACATATAGAGGAAAAAATGGCAGTAAAACTTAGGGAAAAACAAACCAGGAATTTGAGTTGTAATACTGTAATAGGTGTGAATACATGCTGCCTGCAATCTCATTAGACAATGCGCAGGTGCACTCATTCTTGGATATAATCATGTGCTCCAGATACTTACTAAATGATTTAATAAAGTAACATGGCTAGTAGAGATAAATTGGTTCTTTTTTTTTGTTCGATTGTTGAGCAAACGCAGCCTCTGCAATCTTCTCCACAAAGCACTGCGACTACCAAACGGGACAAGTTGACTCAGATTTGAGGAGTGTACGAGAGTATCACGATGATGAGGACCTGGATGTGTTAAAACTAAGATTTTGTAATCAAGAAGTTTCGGACTGCAAGGTAACGAAAATATTCGCTGACGTATTTACGCTTTCGTCAAGTTGTACCGACCATGTTATATTATAGATGCGTATCTTACATGCATGACATAGATACCCCGTCTGTCTATAGTGTAATCTTCCACAATATCAAGAGGTAGACTTCATGTTAGTCTCATTCAAGTAAAGGTCAGGGATAAAACATTCTGTATAAGACGTATACAGATCCCTATACAGAGCACAACATGTAGGCACAACGAAACTCAATTGACAGAAATTTATCGGTGAGGAATTCAGCACACATTTTTCGAACTGTAGAGTCAAGAAACACTTATTGTTTTTTACGAAGGATCTTGTCTAAACTTCAAATCGCAACAAGCAAATGCCACAAGTCTGCCTCAATTGCGTGAAAAAGGGTAATAATCTTGGCAAATGAGAGTGAAGCTATGATAAGTGCTACAATGGATACTTATTTCTAGGCGATATCAGGCAAAATTAAAATGTTCGAAATAGATAGCTTCTGATGAATTGCATGGTTGATACGCAAGTCTACTAAAAACGTAAGATTCTTTCAAAAAATCTTATGAATCAATTATCACATCACATCTACATTTTTACTTTTTGTAAAAAAAACTAAATTTTATTTTAAATTTTGGGGATTCAAATTAAATCAAAATTAGAAAGTAGAATGAAAAGTTGTAAATCTCAGCTCCCGAATCCCGAAAAGCTTCTCGGAAGAGGGAGATCGATCAATTTCGTTGAAATGTGAAGATCATGAGAATTCAAAACTTTTGATACGAGCTTCATGTAACAACAGAAACAAAGGAGAAGTTGATTCCAACAATAAATACAAAGAACGTCACTGAAACTCTAGCTATTTCAAACAAAGGGCAACGGTCACCAGAAAGACCGATATTTATATGTAGCTTCCGCTCGATATCCCCCCTTCTCTCCTCTTCTTCATTAAACTGAGGCCTTTATTTGGAAATGAACGTAGGCGTGTTGTGACAAAATAAATCTGGTAATGACATTTGCAATCATGAGGAAGCGCTTAGTGATCTGGGAGAAATCGTATAATTCGCCGTCACTTTGAACGGAATTGGTTAGAACGTACTATCATAGATCAGAATCTCTCTGGACGTTCATCAAACACGGGAAATTCGATTTGCTTTGCGTATGCATAATTTTCAGTGACGAGTGTGGATGCGAAAGCGACAAAGGTTACAACAACAGCTTCTTGGCTAACGTGAGTATATAGTTGTCGGTTATAAATAATCAGTAAAACCCTCTCGTAGCTGTTTACATAAGTAAAAATAGACACAAATTTCCGAGTTGACTTCTCATTATCATATTACTCAGGCATGTGTTGATTATGCAAATCGAGAGATAGCCCTGGGAAATTCTGGAAAATTCGACAAGGAAGATTTCACGCTGGTTGTTCAGCCCTTCTTCAGAGACATTGTAACACCGCCAATGAAGGTAAAAAAATTTGCATGCAAGCTCATATAGTC